AAATTGGAAATGGTAAGGAAACAGATTCTCTCCTAGTACCTTAAGAAAAAAAGGAACAAAGCCTGCCAATACCCTGATTGTAACCCAGCGAGTCCATGTCAGACTTCTAACCTACAGACTGTAAGATAATAAATTTATACTGTTAGAAGTTTGAGATACTTTTTTATAGCAACCATAGAAAATGATGATAGAATAAGATGAAATGTAAATTCTTTTTTTCTTCCGCTCTCACTAACAAGTTTCAAGCTTTTTATTGCTTGATACTCAATATAATAAAGAAAAAAATGTAAAATGTGAAATCTAACATTTAACACCTCACACCCTGTAGTATGGTTACTATCAAAAACAAACAAATGAACAAAATAAGCGTTGCCAAGAATGTGGAAAAATTGGAATCCTTGCGCATTGTTGGCAGGAATGCAAAATGGTGCATCCACTATGGAAAACAGTATGACACTCTTATTTTAAAATAGAACTAACATAGGATCCAGCAATTGCATTTCTGAGTAAAATGGAGATTCAAATGGATTATCTGCACCTCTCCATTCAAAGCAGCTTATTCACAGTAATCAAAAGGTAGAAGCGACATAAGTGTCTCTCAACAGGTAATAAACAAAATGTTATATACACAAAATGGAATATTATTTAGCCTTAAAAAAGGAAATTTAAGTACATGCTATTACATGGATAAACCTTAAGGGAAGGTTTAAACTGCTATGGGAAATAAGGCATATGATTCTATTCTTAAGAAGAACAGACAAATTTATACAAACAGAAAGAACTGTAGTTGCTCTGGGCAAGGGGGGAGAGAGAAATGGAAAGCTGTTGTTTAATAACTACAGAGTGTTAGTTTTGTAAGACTAAAAACTCTTGGAGACTGGTTGTGCAACAGAGTGAATGTACTTAACACTACTAAACTGTACACACACTTAAAAATGGTTAAAATGGCAAATTTAATGCGTTTTTTACAATAAAAAAAATAAGCTAACACTTAAAAAAAAGAGTACACAAACATGGATTTTCCCAACTAAGTCCAAGTGATTCTCCCTCAAACCCTCCTTAAGCTAAATACCACCAGGTATCACTACTATCCTTCTCTTTGCAATTAAAAATGTAAGTCCAGAGCAACTATCAAGAAGAAGGAATTAAAAGCATCCAAATTGAAATGGAACAAGTAAAACTGTCACTATTTGCAGATAACATATTATTTACAGAAAACCCCAAAGATTCCATCAAAAAACTGTTAGAATTAATAAATGAATTCAGTAAAGTTGCAGGATACAAAATCAATATACAAAAATCTGTTGTGTTTCCAGACGCTAAAAACAAACTACCAGAAAGAGAAATTAAGAAAACAATCCCATTTATAATTACATCAAAAAATAAAATATCTAGGAATAAACTTAATTAAGGAGGTAAAAGATCTCTATACGGAGAACTGTAATACATCAACGAAACAAACTGAAGACAAAAATAAATGGAAAGATATTCTACATTCAGGGATTAGAATATTGTTTATGTGGGGTTTTTTTATTTATTTTTTTTTTATTTCTAGGAGAGAGAGAGAGACAGCATGAGCAGGGGAGGGTCAGAGAGAGAGGGAGTCACAGACTGAAACAGGCTCCAGGCTCTGAGCTGGCAGTCAGCACAGAGCCCGACGCAGGGCTCGAACCCACGAACCGCGAGATCATGACCCAAGCGAAAGTCGGACGCTTAACCGACTAAGCCACCCAGGCGCCCCAAGAATAATATTGTTTAAATGTCCATACTACTCAAAGCACTCTACAGATTCAGGGCATTCCTCTATCAAAATTCCAATAGTATTCTTCACAAAAACAGAGTAAATCCCAAATTTGTATGAAACCACAAAAGACCTTGAATAGCCAAAACAATTTTGAGAACAAAGAACAAAGCTGGATGCTTCATGCTCCCTGATTTCAAACTACTACATTACAAAGCCATAATAATCAAAACAGTATGATACTGGCATAAGAAGAGGCACACAGATCAACGAACACAATGGAAAGCCCAGGAAAAAATGCATGCATGCAGAGTCAATTTATTTACAAGGAGCCAAGAATATACAATGGCGAAAGGACAGTCTCTGATAAGCGATGCTGGGAAAACTGAACAACTGCATGCAAAAGAACGAAACTGGTCCACTACCTTACACTGTACACAAAAATTAACTCAAAATGGATTGCAGACTTGAAGACCCTAAGCCATAAACTTCTAGAAAGAAACATAGGCTCCCTGACATGAGTCATAATATTTTGGATTTGACCAAAGCCAAAAAAACCCCCGAAGCACATCAACTAAAATGGCACTGCAGAGCAAACGAAACCATAGACAAAATAAAAAGGCAATGCACTGAATGGGAGTAAATATTTGCAAAACATCTATCTGATAATATCCATGCTTTTTTTTTTTTTTTTTTTTTTTAGAGAGAGAGAGTGCAAGTGGGAGAGAGGGGCAGAGGAAGAGAAGGAGGGAGGGAGGGAGAGAGGAAGAGAAGTGAAGGGGGAGAGGGGCAGGGAGAATATGAATCTTAGGCAGGCTCCATGCTCGGCATCGAACCTAGCACGGGGCTCGATCCTATCACCCTGCAATCGTGACCTGAGCCAAAATCAAGAGTGGGACATTCAAACAACTGAGCCACTCAGGTACCCCCAAAACATATTTTAAAAAACCTCATGTAATTCAATAGCAAAAAAGCCCCAAACAATCTGATTTTTGATAGATATTTTTCCAAAGACAACATACAGATGGCCAAAAGACACATGAAAAGATGCTTAACACCACCAATCATCAGGGAAATGCAAACCAAAATCATACGGAGACATCAGCTCACATCTGTCAGACAGGCTATTATCAAAAAATCAAGAAATAACAGGATGCGGAGAAAAGAGAACCCCTGTGTAGTGCTGGTGGGACTGTAAAATGGTGGAGCCACTATGGAAGAGTTTGAAGTTCTTCAAAAAATTAAAAGCTGAACATATAATCCATTAATTCCACTACTGGATATTTATCCGAAGCAAATGAAAACACTAATTTGAGAAAATATATGCACCCCATGTTCACTGCAACTTTATTGACATGGAAACAACCTAAATGGCCATCAACGGGTAATGAAAATGTACTATACATACATACAACAGAATATGATTTAGCTATGAAAATGAACAAAATTTTGCCATTTGTGACAAAGTGAATGGACCCTGACGGCATTATGCCAAGTGAAGTAAGTCAGACAGAAAAGAAAAAGATAAATACTGTATGATCTCAAACATGGAATCTAAAACAAAACAAAACCCAAACTACTCCAAGCTCATGAAAACAGAGAACAGACTGGAGGCTGCGTAGGGAAACGGAAGGGGGAGAGGAGGCAAAAGGGATGAAGGAGGTTAAGAGGTAGGTACAAACTACTAGATATAAACTAAAGAAAAATATAGAAGTCCATTATTTATTTCATGTTTTAAAAATATGTGACTAAGAATACAGAAATATCTGACCACACTACCTCAGTGTTCTCTCTCAAACACAATCTTAATAAGATACAAAATGTTAAAGAAAATCTGTTCATTTTGTTAATCTCAGGACATCAATTTCATTCACCTATAGAGAAAAATATGACAACTGTCCCATTAAGTTGACATATTCCAGTACTCTGCTGACTAATAATGGCAAAGGATTTATGTGACAATTCATTCACAATTGCTCCCCACAAAATCTCCTTTCTTATTATTCCAAGTATATGCTTTTCAAACTTTCAGTATGTCTCTAAAATTCTAATATTCCAAAATTAGAGAGCCAAATTTAACTATGCAAACTGAAAAAGATGTTAAACCTCTTTTATTTTTATGCTTCCCTACCAAAGAATGGTAACATATTTAGTTTACTTTCAGGAATGCTTCCAATCCCTTTTTTCCTCTAGATACCTAAAGTTCAAGAGTGCCATGTTCTCTGGAGAATTCATTTTCTGAGACTCTGCAGTTCCAGGTTACACCAGGAAGCAAGAATTATAAATAAATGCACTCATTAATAAAATGGTCATTTGTGAAATGATTTCCCATCCTGGCCACTCCCGCCCCCGAATCAACACAAGTGTCTACTGCTCTTCATCATGCCAACTACAGATTTGTAAACATCTGACAATACACTCACAACAGAAAGCAACTTGCAAATTAAACTACATTATCAAATTATCCAAAGTTTTATAAAGTTAATAAAATGTGCTCGAAAACTGCTTAGGATCACGTAAATTATTTCAAACAGATAAGGTATGTCAGTTAATAACTGAAAACAATCAACAAAGAGGACACTAGATTAAAAAGGTTTTTTGAACACTAAATTTTCTTCAAAACTGAAGAAATGCTCAAACATTACTGCAAACATGACTTTCATTATAGTTACATTGCAATATTGAAAAGAGCTAGCATGTGCCTCATATTCTGATTATAGAACCCAACTCTGCAGAAGATGCAACTCCCCTATAAAAACCTGGTTCCAAAGGAGACAGCATTTAAAAGGCTATCTTCCATTTGTTCAGCATATAAAATATAGGGGCAACCCAATAAAAGCATTCTACACATTAATTTTTTTAAATCCCGAAAACAAAATTCACATTTCAAGTTGTGGAAGAAGCAGCTAATTCTTAACCAAGGTACCAATTAGTGACGGCACCACCACAAGAGAGCTCAAAAGAACTGGAGAAACTATTTACAAAAATAGAAAAAAAAGACTTTCATAAAGTTAGAACAACACTATTATCATTTTGCCTTCCAAAGAGACAATAAAAGCTAAACTGATGAACTACATTGACCTAGCATCCTCCTGGAGGCAATCTACAGAAAGTTCTCGCTAAGGGGCTGAACAATTGCCTCACTGCAGAGCTGGGTTTCATTGTATCAATAGAACATGCAAGCTTTCAACCGGGTTTCTCAATAAAAGGCAACCTTTGTGATAAATGAACCACTAGAGAAGATTCTAATAAAACTTACCATTGTGTATTGCATTCAGCAACTCTGAGAAAGCTTTTAAGTAAGGAAAAAAGGACTTCAGGTTAAGATCATTCTCAAACACACAAAAGAAATACATAGGCACAGACTGAGTCAGTATAATAAAATCTCAATAAGTATCATGTATCACTGTTTGAATCATTAAAACTGCAAGCTTGGCTCAGTTTTTATATGGTATAAATTTCTAAGTATTGTATTTCATCTGCCAATCTATCACCTAATACATTTAATATGTTAGATATATTGTCATAATGGTGACAAACTTTCTTAATAATACATATGTAAGATTACTTTTAAGAAGACATTTAATAGTCTATGTAATGTCTTTCTTGCTAAAAGTATCTGTAGGATTCAATTTTGTAAAGGTAAATCTACCACAACAAATTCTACACTCACCAGTATTTATTATAAAGGAAAACTTCATTTTATCATCTAACCTGATCAAAAAATCTCATTTCCTAAACTTTAGTATAATAGTCTTGACATATATAGAAGTCAAAGCCAACAAATATTAAAAAATTATATTAACATCAAGATTAGTGGGAACCAAATTCTAAAAATATTATTTCAATAGGAACAGAAGTCACAAGAAACAACACATAAAAAAAGCCAAGAATAATGAAAATTTGGTCACCATTTTACTAATATGGATCCTGACCTCAGGACAAGCAGCAAGTTAAGATATCTCTATAGGAGGAAAAAAATCTGCTTAATTAAGAACCAACTGCATTACGGAAAATTAAAAATTAGAGGTTCAGGGGTGGCACAATATAACAGAAAAAAACCCCACTAAAGTAGAAGTCAAAAAGCCTGGGTTACCAACCCAGTTCGACAACTTACTAGTTGTTGGACAAGCTCCATCATGCCGATACTGCATGGAAATTTCTGTTGGGAGGGAGGAGAAAGGAATCAGGAGAAGTTGCCAGTGATTCAAAGGCAGAAAAAGAAAATAGGCCAGAAAAACAAGGAAACATTCACCTAAAAGTCTAGCTGTGAAGGGCAAACAAAACTGTGGGAATAGAAATTATTAGCAAGTTTCTGGCACGTGATGATGTAATGGGTAGAAGGACCAAACATGATGGAATTCTCACAAATCTTTGACGGGATAGTATGGGAATGTGTATGTTTGCACGTGTGTACAAAGAATGAGGAAAAGAGGTGCCTTGCATGGCTCAGTGGGTTAGGCAGCCAGGCTATGGTCATGATCTCATGGTTTGTGGCTTCGACCCCCACGTCGGGCTCTGTGCTGACAGCTCAGAGCCTGGAGCCTGCTTCTGATTCTGTATCTCCTTCGCTCTCTGCCATTCCCTCCCCTGCCCTTCCCTTTCTATGATAAATTAACACTAAAAAATCTTTTTTAAAAATGGGAAAAGACCTAAGGGCTTATAAATTAATCTGTGAAACAAGTGTCTAAGAAAAAACAGATTCAATATAAAAGGGAATATAGTTAGCAATGTGAAAAACTAATGTGTTTTACATAATTCATTATGACAACAATTTAACAAAACCATCAGAATTCTGTGGTCCATTAGAGATTACAATTCAAGTACTAAAAAATGAGTTTATATATGAGCAGAAATCTATGACTTACATAACAATATAAAACTTGTTAAACTACACTCAGCTTACTTTCTTATACCTTTCATTTTTTATGATGATAATGAATGAATAAGCTATTGCTCTTATTTGGCTCCACCCAAAGGAAGAGAAAAAGCAGAGGATGACATGAGGCAATAAAACACTGCTAAAAGCAAAAGCTGCTTAGAAGATGAAAAATGAATTTCTGTATGGCATTCGAAAGGAAAAAATAACTGACACAGAACCAAGTCTGTGACTCAAAGGACCTGGCCTGCTAACCATGGAAACAATGGGTATTCCTTTGTGGCTAACACAGTTGGTCTAAAATTTTCAAGGAAGAATATCTGGAAATTCTCTGGATATTATTTAACCAAAAACATGATTTCTAGGAATCATATGTACAACGGAGTCTTCTAGGCAACCATCACTCACACATCTACCCATATGCATATCTCAGAAGTCAAGTCCAATCATGGGCACCGTCCAAATAACTTGAAATAAGAAAGACAAAGCAAGGCAGAGGGAAGCCAGCACTCACTTTTAACCATTTTAATGTTTAAAAAAAAAAACACACTTCACATTAGCTACTGTTAAAAAACAAATTTTAGACAACTTTAAGTCCTTTCCAGATGATACGCAAAAACTGAGACATGATGGAAGAGTTTTCCATCTTTAATGCTCATTAACAAGTTCAAGTGAGATTTAAAAAAAAGAGTGTGAGGACTACTGAAAAGATTGAACGGTACATTACAGAGAAATGGTAGGTGGCTGGAATGGTGCAGAAAAATAATCAAAGGATTATTACCAGAAGGATGTTCTCAGTGAGGAAAAAATACAATATGGCTATTCTGGCCTTTGATTTGGTACTTTTGCAGAAAGACATACATGGTACAGGGCCAGCAAATCTTCAAATCATCAAAGATGAAAACAAAAATCAGGATTTTCTGAAGATGCAAATTTCAAGGTATATTCTGGTCTCAGCAGCATCCAATATCCTATATGATTTTCATTTATGACCCAATATAATCAATATATATAAAAGCATGAACCTGAGTCATTAAGATGAGTCTGATGTATGTTCAGCAACTATCTACTCCTTGGTCTACAATTTAGTAACTCTACTCTTCTGAGTTTATTAGATTATTTGTATTTTTATGATTCCCTTATTTGTTTATAAAATCAGACTATACCTAATTAAAATATTTTACCAGGAAAAGATTCCTCAATTTCATTTTATTAAACTAAGCAGATATACCATAAATAGGCATATATTTAACAAGAACCCATTCATAATTACATGGGCTCAAGTTAAACTTTCATAACCTTCACTTTTCAGTAGAAGTCAGAACAAACTTCTCTTGAAGTGGTCTCTTCATATTAATAACTTATCTTCATGAAATCTTTAAGACTTCATCACTAGGTACTCATGGGCAGAATCAATCGTCTTCCTAGAATCTCCTTTTACAGCATGTATCACCACTAAAGAATTCCATCACTGAAACAAATTTCAAGTATCTTAACTTGGAAAGGTATGGCAGTATTACATTCAGGAACTATAGACTAAGATTTTTAAAAACAGGGAGGGGCACGTGGGTGGCTAGGTCAGTTACTACTGACCAACTCTTGGTTTTAGCTCAGGTCATAATCTCACAGTTCATTAGTTCAAGCCCTACATCGGGCTTTGCATGGACAGCGTGGAGCATGCTTGGGATTCTCTCTCTGCCCCTCCCATGCTCTTGCTCTCACTCTCTCTCTCAAAATGAATAAATAAACTTTAAAAATTCAAAACTAAAATAAAGAACAGGGAAACTCTGAAAAGATGCCCAAAGAAAATAAGTTAATGTTAAACCACCAACTACTTATCATTTAATGAATACCAGAATTTTCTCAAAGACAATAACAAGGTGTTGATTTTTATGAAGAAAAAATGTTAACCTTCACTTTAGTAAATCATAAACTCTCATAATGTAGTTGGGATAAATAGGGATAAAAGGACAAATACAACATGTCAACCTTTCCAAATGCTCTACTAATTTTCAAGGTTTCAAAAGCCCTACTTGCCTAAGATTTCAAAAGAATGCATACAGGAAAAATTCTATTAAAACCTTAACATAATCTATACACTCAAACTTAAAACCTTTAGTAGCCACTTAAAACAACACACTGATTTCCCACTTTGTACAAGTCACTGTAACAGTAAATCACTTATCAAGATGTACTTCAACTTATTATAAGAAAAACCTTACAATCCAAACCCTTGATCAAAGAGTTCAAAGCTATTTTCTGGATTTCTATTCTGACGGGATCTGAGGGTCCTAGAACAAATATCTTGCTACCTACATGCTACTATAATTTGAATATATCATGATAAAACTTTGATTACTCTTAAGTCAATGCTTCTAACAATTTTAAGACAACCACATTATAAGGAACTGATTCTACTTCTGCTATGTGTCATAGTTGTGGTAAAACCAGAGAAAATACAGCAACGATGACAGTAGCTGCCCTGTCTATTTAGAAACAAAGACAGTAATTAAAAGTTCTTTAGAGGGGCGCCTGGGTGGCTTAGTCGGTTAAGCGTCCGACTTTCGCTTAGGTCATGATCTCGAGGTTCGTGGGTTCGAGCCCCGCGTCGGGCTCTGTGCTGACTGCCAGCTCAGAGCCTGGAGCCTGTTTCAGTCTGTGACTCCCTGTCTCTCTGACCCTCCCCTGCTCACGCTGTCTCTCTCTCTCCTAGAAATAAATAAAAAATATTTAAAAAAAAAATAAAAATAAAAAAATTTAAAAAAAAGTTCTTTAGAAAATGTTAGGTGCTCTCAAATATAAGATATTAACATTATTGCAAGCTGATGGAAGCAATGTATGTTTTTCTGTCAGTGAAGTTCTTTCAAGAGTAAGTTGCCAGAAGTCAGTCCAGGATGGCTATTCTAAGACTAGCCTAGAAGTCTGAGTTCATTGGCCTGACATGCAACTTTCTGTAACCATCTTGCCCTACTTGGTCAACATTACCTCCAACTACCCCACAAACACAAGTTTCTCATTTCCAGTAGTTTATTCCTCAAATACAACTTTCCTTTCTTATCTGATAATATTGTTGGCCTTTCTCTGCCCACTCCAAAGTATAATTCAAATCCCAACTTCTCCATGGTCTTTTCCAACTTAATTAACACATTCTAAACTGGGCTGTAATACTAAAAGATAAGCTTTATAAATAAATAATTTCACTTGCAACCTGGCTATAAACACTTGCAAGTCAAGTTAAAAACCACACAGGGTACTACTAATCACATGATGTGTTCTCAGTAATTACTAATAGTATTCATTCATCAAAAAAAGAAGAAAAGATGTTTACAATTTATTATATACAAAGCACTGTGCCGACAGTGAGGAGACAGTGATGAACATGACAAATAGACTCCGTCATCTCATGAAGCTAGGATTATATAGTGCATGTTACAGTCTAACATCATAGCCAACAAGTGCTTACAAAGGTCACCTTCATCATTACTAAATTATCAACTTGTAATGAAAGCAAACAAATCTTTTGAACAGGCCATCATGCAAAAACAATTCTTGATAACAGAATATAAATGTATACAGTATACATTTTTCCTTCCTACTTATTTATATGGGAAAAAAAGTTTCCTGGTTTTAAAACTACAAAACTACTAACTTCTCAATCTAAAATTAGTTCAAAGAAAATTTACTATTTTCTTATTAGTAGGACATTCAACTTTTTGCAAGTGAAATTACTGGCTCAAATTTTCTCACTGATCCCACTGAAAGTATGATTGGCATTATGTACTAGTGTGGTTTTAGACCCTCATCAGCAAACACTCCCTGAATATTATCATTGAGGATCTCGTAAATCAAGGAAAATGCATTTTCCACCATATAGAGGTGTGAGAATTGCTTCTTCTACTTTACAATGAGTGATAATACTCAATACCTATCAAGTGTAAGCACTATAATGTGTAGTGGGGCATCTGGGTGGCTCAGTTGGTTAAGCAGCCCGACTTCAGCTCAGGTCATGACCTCTAGGTTCATGAGTTGGAGCCCCACGTTAGGCTCTATGCCAACAGCTTAGAGCCTGGCACCTGGTTTGGATTCAGTCTCCTTCTCTCTCTACCCCTCCCACCCCTCGTGCTCTGTCTCTCTCTTTTTCTAAAAAATAAACACTGAAAAACATACTAAAAAAAGAAAAAGACAAACTACATTCCAACAGCAGTTAGCAATTCTTAACTTATGATTTAGAGGGCATAATTCCTTTTTTTTTTTTTTTAATTTTTTTTTTTTTTTCCTAGGGGAGAGAGAGAGAGAGACAGCGTGAGCAGGGGAGGGTCAGAGAGAGAGGGAGACACAGATTGAAACAGGCTCCAGGCTCTGAGCTGGCAGTTAGCACAGAGCCCGACGCGGGGCTCGAACCCACGAACCGCGAGGTCGTGACCCAAGCGAAAGTCGGACGCTTAACCGACTAAGCCACCCAGGCGCCCCATAGAGGGCATAATTCTTAAATATCCATGGCATTTAGCCAGTTTCTTCTAAGAATAGACTTCTTAGTAAGTACTAAGGGTATGTTCTTTTTTTTTTTTTTTTTTTTATATATTTTTTCCTAGGGGAGAGAGAGAGAGAGACAGCGTGAGCAGGGGAGGGTCAGAGAGAGAGGGAGACACAGATTGAAACAGGCTCCAGGCTCTGAGCTGGCAGTAAGCACAGAGCCCGACGCGGGGCTCGAACCCAAGAACCGCGAGATCATGACCTGAGCGAAAGTCGGACGCTTAACCGACTAAGACTAAGGGTATGTTCTGACCCAGTCATAAAACTTTTATGAAAATGTATATTAAGAACATATTACCTCAAATCATTTTAAGTAATCTTAGTCCATTATTATAGCTTTAACTTTAACAAAACATAAAATCTTCAGTTTTTTAACACAATTTTAAGAAAAACAAATCTATGCAAGTCTTAATTTATGTCATTTACTTTAACAAAGTAGTATTTATGGGATCTTCTCCCTAAATTTCTTTACCTAATGGTGAGGTAAAAGGGACACAAATTCATGCTTTACTGCTACAGATATTCAACAAACATTGCCCTTGGAAAGTAATTATTGTGAAAAGAACACAATCTCCCACAGCTAAAATCTGCCTAAATCTGTAACAGGTGGGAAAATCTTTTCACGGATGTAAATCAAGATTTAACTCCATTAATTGAGGATGTGTATTTCAAATAGCATCTATTCAGAGTAATGTGATTTCTGAAATACAATAATATTCAGACTATGCTTCTATGTATAGGAAATCAGTGAGGATCTCTTCACAAAGGCAAATTCAGGCTTAATTTTCTCAGTAAGTTATTCATCTGATGATTACTGTGACTCTTGCTAAAAATAAAAATGAACTCATTTTTTCTGAGTAAATCTGTCTAAACTTATTTTGCTGTGACTAGAGTTTAATCCTAGTCGCTAACCCTTTGGTCTAAAAGAAAACATATAAATAAAATGGATATTCAAATGTGTAATATATTTAAATTTTTTCAATGGATACATTTCTCATTACAATTTGTATTATTTCCCCTCTAAAATAGTGGATTTAGATTTTCTACCCTCCCCTAGTGGGTAGAGGCTGGGGATCCTGATAAATGCCCTACCAATGCACGGACAGGACTGCACACTAAGAAACTGTCCCAACCAGAATGTTAATAGGGCCAAGACTGAGAAATAATGCTCTAAACTCATCCTTAATGCTTCTAATGAAACAATCCTGTCACAGTTCCCACTCATTCCTCAACAACAAACAACTTGTGAAACAGGTCCACTGTGGCACTGAAGCTGGCTAGGAAAAACAGAAAGAGAAGGGAATCCTCAGTTGTGATCTTGGGCAATTTATTTTACCCATCTAAGCCTCAAGATTACCAGCTGTAAAAGGGGGAAATAAATAGCCCATATTTCATAAAACCTGTGTAGGGATGAAACAAGATAATAAACATAAAGCATTAACAGACTATGGTACAAATGATATTTATAGTTAATAATTTTCACTTCTGACCTTTACATATGTTCTTTACTCCCTCAGGATGGTCCTTATGTTTACTTACTGAAATTAATGTCTACACAACAATCAAAACAATCCAAAAGTCTGTATTTATAAAATGAACATGAACATTCATTTAAATTATATTTATTTTCTTTCCATACCATTTCCTATCTGTCCTCTCTACCAAGAACTGATAAATAAAATCTGTAATAGCTTATTTTAGCCAAAATCTCATTTCTACAATCAACCTCAAAGTCAAAACCGAGATGAGGTTTATAACACTTACTTACAATCATTGACCTCAAATTCAAGATCAACTGAAAAGATAAATGCTGGCATTTAGGCAATATCTAAACTGTTAAGTTTTCGTCTAAATACAAGAACCTTAAAATTTGTAAGAACTGAAAATTATCATAATACAAAGTATAGATTAAAGAGGCATCCCAATGATGTAACAACATACATAAATTCATTCATACTTTCAGAAAGTATTTCCTGTATTTCCTGAAATAAAATGACTATTAAAGTCCATATATTTAAATCCCTTATTACTGATTTAAAAATATTCTACATGGAGTACTTTAAGTAGAATTTGTGCGAGGAACTGAGAAAATAAAAACAAGTTCAACTTTAGAGAATTTGGAAGCCCCCAAAAAAGCACCAATCAAAAACATAGTGCAAAGCTATGCAAAATGCTCACCCCTCAATTGTGAATTCTGAGTTGGTTTCAAAATTCTTTGCAGGTAAAGCAAAAACAAAAATCGGAAATTAATACGAGGCATTTCATAAGAACTGAATGACCAATAAATAAACTATTTTGCCTATTTTTAGTTAAGTAAACTATCAGATTAGTCCCTAACATCTTGGCCTACTAACTAAATGTCATTTAGCAACTCAAAGTATTAACATAATTATAGCTTAATTTCCCTTTGGGGGTAAAAGAAAGGGGGGGGGGCGCGAGTAAGTTTTAAAAAAAAAAGAGAGAAGAAGGAAAGAAAAAAACAATGGGCAAATCCCTACCTGAACCAACTGGAGAGGAGCCAACACTAAGACTCTGTAAACTTCCATTCCTGAGCAATGTGGGAGATTTCTGAAGACTAGAGCTGGTCACACTTCCTGCAGCTGATGCTACCGATGATGTTGGTGAAGCAGAAGAAACTGAGAGATGAGAAACATTCTCTTGATTTTTGTTTCCTTTAGGTCTACCAGGCCCATGCTTACTTTGTTTATTTCCTTTTCTTTTCTTTTCCTTTACAGTTTCTTCTTCTATGCCAGAAGTTTGAGCCCGTTTATATCCTGCTGTAGGAAGGCTGGAATTACCCAAATCTCCAGGTGAATTTTCAAAGCTTTTAGGCTGTGAAATAACAGCTGAGGTCGAAGGGAGACCCATTATGGAACTAAAACTATTTACCCCCCCTTCCTGGCTTCCAGACTCTCCTTTATGTACATCTTTGGTTGATGATGACTGTTGGGAGTGAGTATAACTGTCATTACGCAGATCTGAGTCTGTAAAGCTCAAGAAATCCTGGGGAGACTGTACTGAACTTCCCGAAGATGATTTTACACTGCCTGGAGTTCCTGAAAAACTGCCTGTAGTAAAATAAAAAGGGGGGGATAGGAAAAGAAAAAAAATTGGATGCAAAAGTTCCCACGAGCAACAGAAATGATACAATCATCAAAAAGAGATGGAGAAGAAAAAACTATAAAACTTAGAACAACACTATGTAACAAAGTAGAGCTTAAAAATGGTATTATGAAATCAAGTTTATCTATAAAATTTTCTATAAAAAATACTTGTCATTTCATAGTTATTGAACTAAATATTAACTCTTAAATTATAAGCTATTACTTCTACAATGACCAAGATAAAAGATGTGCTTTATTTAACCTACCTTTTACTATGGCAACATTCCTCAATGTTTCCCCAAATACCTGTGTATGATGGAGGAAGGACTGAAGAACAGCAAAGTCTCAAAGAGAGTTTGACAAGACCACTACTGTATTCTGAATAGCTGGGAGAACTTCCTCTGTTTCAATTACTGAAGATTTGATTTAAATGTTTCCAACACAGACCCAGAACCAAAAACTGTTGCTTAGATTTTTAAGTTCCGAGTTTTAACTTCAAGACAGGGTTAGTATTATTATTTAGTTAACCTACCGCACCAAAACGTGGGTTTGATAAAATAATCATGAGCACATAGAACCCTAATCTGTCTACCTTACATTCTCCCAGTCCACTTCTCTGCAGCTGCATAAAGAAATCAGCCACTAACATTCTGCTATTGCTTTTATGAAAGTAAAATCATAGGAGAGGTACCCTCATGAATCCCTTTCAACTGCTTCTTCTCTCTTCACTCTTTAAAGAACATTAGTAGCCCACTATGCCATTTGTGAGATAAAGGTTCTTATTTACTTGGTAGAAAAATAAAATGGCTGGGATGAAACAATAATTCGGTCCACTATCCCAATTCACCAAACTGTCTCTATGCTCACCAGACTCAGCTGTGACCACACATCTATTGTGTTTCATAAAACTTAAACTATATCATATTTTAATTAATGTATTAAAAACAAAAGCTCAAAATAAAGTGTTTCATCGGAATGGAAGGGAAATTTCAAGCTAATGGTTAAATTTTATTACAGAGCACATTCAAAAATAATCACACACAAATCCACCTAAATATTTACAACAGTATCCCCCCTGCCCCCACACACAAGAAAGAGTTTCTTTTTAACTAAAGTTTCAAGGTTTTGAATTTTAAATTTTAAGCTCTTCTGAAATGGCTTATTAAGGAAGAACATTAATAGGCCTAAAATTTAACTCTTTGAAGAGAATATCCATTTTATTTACTTACAAAATTATTTGTACCTATGTGAGCATTTTCAAGTTATGTCTATATAGAAAAACATACATATTAAGAAGCCATTTACATTACATCAATCATTTAAGGATAATTGTAATTTGCCACTTAATTAGCAACTATAAAGAAGTTCTTTATTATCCATTCTGATCTGTCACCATCTGTCTTTTTTCCACACATTTTTGTTTTTACAGCTGGTGTTAAAAGCTCACTACAGTGTAGCAAATACTTTCAAACATTTAGTATATGCAATACTTTAACATATATTTTCTAAAATTCACATATTGCCCACAATGAAAAAAGTAAAACCAAGCATCTTGAATTCCCTATCATTAAATTTCAACTTTTAAAACTTTTATTGAAAATTACCTCAGATATGAAAACATAACACATTCTACCATGTCTCAACAGAGGAAGGAAAAGACTCTTCAACATGTAAACTTTAAGAAAACGAGGAATTTCTTTTCTAAATGATTAGCACTTCAAAGATTAAAAACCAAAAAATGCAATTTTAACAGTGGAAAATAAGGTCTTATAGATAAGTGATAACTGAATTCTAATATCACATTCAAAATGTAAATAAAGTTACATTAAAAATAATTAAGGTTTTACTACTTATTTCCCACAGTGGCATAAAAATAACAACAAATATAAAGTAAATTTATTAAAATAGAACAGCAAACTTGGCATTTTATTTTTCTACTTGTCTAATTTTTGTTGTAATATAAGGCAAAAATGTTAAAAATTTAAAAAAAATTTAGGACTTGAAAATCCTGAAGCCCAAAATAATTTAGTTTAAAATATATGAATAAACTTTTTAATAAAAGATCAGCACTTAGCAATCTCTCTACATACTCAAATTGTTATTAACAGCAAAAGCTTAAAGAAAAAGGCAACTTTTCCCCCCTCATTTTTGCCCTAGGGGGCAAAAACAATGCAGGGAGGAGGCATGTACTGTATACTTTACTAATATATTTATCATCAAGTTTTTAACATTTCTCAAAATATTTATGTTCAAGTTAAAAATTAACACAAAATAGGGGTTCCTGGGTGGTTCAGTCACTTAAGTGTCCGACTTCAGCTCAGGTCATGATCTCACAGCTCATGGGTTCGAGCCCCACACTGGGCTCTGTGTGGACAGCTCAGAGCCTGGAGCCTGCTTTGGATTCTGCCCCTCCCCCGCTCACACTCGGTCTCTCTCTCAAAAATAAACAAACATTAAAAATAATTCTTTTAAAGATTAACATGAAACAAAAACCTAGAAGATGGGGTTAATGTAGAAGATGGGGTTAATGTACTGTAAAGTTTAGCTACATTATTCTGTTCTGATAAAACAGGATGACCATATACAATATAGCATGCCCAGCTAATTTTGAATTTTAAATAACAGATTATTTTTTCAGTTTAAATATATTTCATGCATTTCTTTGAGACATACTGAAAAATAATTTGTTAAACTAAAATTCAAAATTAAATGGGCACCTTGTTATAGTAGCCTTCCCAAAACATATTGTAAACTTAGCAAAATTCTACTTTAAACTTCAAACTTTATATAAATGCATTAATAATCAATAACTATTATTTAGTGGGAACTATTAGATTCCCTGCAAATTACCCAGTACTTGCTTACTTACTAAAACTACATGTTTTAACTGTTTTAGTGTTTAATCAAGAAAGATAAATAACAATTTATTAAAAACAAGACTGTTCTATAGAGCAGAAAGGAAAAGTCCAGCTTTTATTGTTTTTTCTCCCCAAACTTAAACTTTATTCCACATCTATTTAAACATTAAAATTACAATTCAGCTTTGGAAGCACATGTCATATCATAAAACGTCCCAGAAACATTTTAACAAGGAAGACTAGTCTTAAGTAATCTCGCTACAGCAACTATTCATAAAATTATCTCCAATGATCCAGTAGTTATAAATAAAAAAAGAATTGTTTTACAAAACTTAACCGCTACTGATCATCGCAAGAACAAGTAGTTTAACTAAAACATCATAATTAATACCTTGCTGGAAAGGACTAGCTGCTGACACAGTCGTTCCTGGATTTCGGCCACCAGGCTTTCTTCCCCTTTGACCTGAGCTGTGAGCTGAAGATTTCTTCCCTTTGCCCTCTGACCCTCTAGCCTCTGAAACATCTTTTCCACTAGTTGCGTGCGCAGAGACTTCCTGGAAGTTTGCATTTGTAAATCGAGCTGCGGTATCTTCCAAACGCTTCAATGATCCAGATATAGAGTTGCTGCTTGTGCTCGTGTAAGTCTGACATTTTGATTGAGAAAGGAAGTTGGGGGAGGGGAAAAAAAAAAAAAGAATTGATTAATTTTAGCTATAGGTGGGTGGAGGGGAAGACATATTAATAACAATAAATGTTTGGCTTGTAAGGTAAACATGTCAAAGTTTCAGTTATAAAGTAAGTCCGTTCATCTAAGAAAATCACATAAAAACAATTATTTTAGTCTATTGCAAATACTTATAAATTGCAACAATAAGTAAAAGTACATATTATAGTTCTTCAGCGACACAATATTGAAGGTACTTGCTTCTCAAGCAACATGATTTTCAACAAGAAAAAACTACTTCTTTGTATTCATGAAATTAAAGTCAGATTTAATGTTCCACACAAAGGCAATAAAGAGAGAGAAGTGCTACAAATTCATTAGACAACTATATCCATGAGATTATAAGACTTCAGCACAGGTCAGAGCAAGATAATTCAGGTGAGGCTACTTTTCAAAAACAAAAGATTAAAGCCTTTAAAATAGAAACCATTTCTTCCAAGTATTAAGATGCAGGAAGAGTTATACTTTGCAGTAAAGATGTTTTTTTTCATTTTGTAATTTTTATTTTCTTTTTAATTTCTGAGAGAGGGAGAGAGACAGCATGAGCAGGGGAAGGTCAGGGAGAGGGAGACACAGAATCCAAAGACAGGCTCCAGGCTCTGATCTAGCTGTCAGCACAGAACCCGATGATGCGGGGCTCGAACCCACGAACAGTGAGATCATGACCTGAGCTGAAGCTGGACGCCCAACCGACTGAACCACCCACGTGCCCCTGCGGTAAAGATTTTTAAAAATTGAAAGTATTAGGGTGCCTGGGTAGCTCAGTCACTTAAGCATCCAACTCTTGATTTTGGTTCAGGTCATGATCTCAAGGTCATAAAAATGTGCTCGGTGTAGGGTTCTGCACTGAGCATGGAGCCTACCTGGGAGTCTTTCTTTCCATCTCTCTGTATCCTCCCTCCCCACCCCTGAAAATAAACATTAAAAAACAATTAAAGGTATTATATGCTCTAAAATGGATTATCGGGATATACTCCGATAATATAGATATGTTTACGAAAAATGCAAAATAAAGACCTCTTTAAACAATTAGTTTCCAATCATTTCCAGTTAAACAATCATTTTTTAAGACGAAGTATATGCAAATAATAGTAAATTAAATAACTATGAAATGTAAAATGTGTTCAGATGTATAGTAATGAACATGCTTCAAAATAAATGTTTGGGGCGCCTGGGTGGCCAAGTCCATTGAGCATCAAACTCTTGATTTCAGGTCAGGTCATGATTTCAGAGTTCATAGACAGTGCAGAGCCTACTTGGGATTCTCTTAACCCCCTCTCTCAGATCATGCTCTATCAAAATAAATTAAACATTAAAAAAGAAAAAATGAAATACAAGGTCTGTGAAGACCATTAGGTCAAGGATTTTTGTTGTCACTGTTTAAGTTCACTAAATGCCTCAAAGACAAACAGCCCTAAATTTCTGAATAAATAAATGAATAAATATTTTTCTGATATATCTATGGTCTAGGGGCGCCTGGGTAGCTCAGTCAATTAAGTGTCTGACTTCAGCTCGGGTCATGATGTCACGGTTTGTGAGTTTGAGCCCCAGGACAGGCTCTGTGCTGACAGCTCAGAGCCTGGAGCCTGCTTCAGATTCTGTCTTCCCCCTCTCTCTGCCCCTCTTCCGTTCGTGCTGCCTCTATCAAAAATAAACAAACATAAAAATAAATAAATAATAAAACCTCTGATGTAATGCAAACCACTCAGTAAAACCATCAGATAAATGTGAAAAACAAAGGGATGATAAAATCAGGTGTCAAAATAGTTGGCATTTTTAGCAAAATCAATGTTCAAAATGAGGAAAGAGTACTTCGAATGCTTTGAAAACTAAATATTCTTAACTACTACCTTTCTGCTATTTGCTTCCTAATACCATCCTCACCCCACATCATCTCACTGTCAAACAGATTTTCATCAAGTACAAGAGACATCATCTCATAAAAACAAATTTATCACTATTCTAATAACTAGAATCCACAAATGAGAAAGGAAGGTCCCAAAGGAAGTTGTAGGAAAAAACCAATCATGTTTAGGCTGATTAAGCTTCATGGATTGCTTTATGTTCGACTTCAGCTCAGGTCATGATCTCACGGTCCAGGAGTCTGAGCCCCTCATCAGGCTCTGCTGGCAGCAAGGAGCCTGCTTAGGAGTCTTTCTCCACCCTTCTCCTGCTTGCACACTCTCAAAATAAATAAACTTTAAAAAGGGGGGAGAGCTAGGTGCCTCAGTTGGTCAAGCGCCTGACTTTGGCTCATGTCACCATCTCATAGTCAGTGAGTTCGAATCCCGCATCTGGCTCTGTGCTGCCAGTGCAGAGTGTGCTTGGGATTCTCTCTCTAGCCTCACTCCCAGGACCCCCTCTCCTGCTTGCATGCTATCAATAAGAAAATAAACTTAAAAAAAAAATAAATAAACTACCTGGATTACTTTAGAAATGCGAATGTTTTTCATGCTGGGCCCGTCCCTTTGGAAACCACCTACTTTACTTTTCAAATACTTTTTTCTAATAACAAATTGAGGTTCTCCATCCCACTCACATACAAACTTAATGCAGTTTAAAAGTCATCCAAAGTCTTCATTCATGTACTTTGTCCATGCATCAAATAAGCAAAGAAAAAAAAACTGAGTGGAGAACCAAATAAGAAATATACTATTTCCACATACCAATCTAAACCAGGGTTGGTCAATTTTCCCACTCATTTAATAGAATATCCTTGCTTGCCCTTGAAGTATTAACATGTCCACAAATCCAATGAAAACATGGCACATGGAAGAAAAGGGATTACCAAGAAAACAATGAATGGAAATCAAGCAAATTTCACTGACAAAAGACATACTAAACAAAACCATAACATTTGTTTTTTTAAAAAACTTAAGATTATTTTCTGAGTTTCAAAAATAATAAAAAATTTAAGAAAATTTTTAATGATCATATATTTTTGAGAGAGAGAGCCCATGCAAGCAGGGCAGGGGCAGAGACCAAGTAAGACAGAGAATCCAAGCAGTCTCCACACTGTCACAGCACAGACCCAACATGGGGCTCAAATTCAAGACTGTGAGATCATGACCTGAAGTTGGATGCTCAACTGACTGAGCCACCCAGAAGCCCCCCAAATATCAGACTTCTTAACAAGAAAAATATAAAACTTTAGCTAAAGATTCTAACTGTTGTTTTTTAAAAATTACACATAACAAGGGGAAAAAATCTGTATGGTTATACTGAAAAAGAGATCTCCACCTTTGTAAGTTAATTTAAGAGTAATGGAGCGCCTGGGTGGCTCAGTAAGTTAAGCGTCCAACTTCGGCTCAGGTCATGATCTCACAGTTCATGAGATCGAGCCCTGTGTCCGGCTCTGTGCTGACAGCTCGGAGCCTGGAGCCTGCTTCGGATTCTGTGTCTCCCTCTCTCTCTGCCCCTCCCCCACTTGTGCTCTGTCTCTCTCTCTCAAAAATAAACAAACATTAAAAATTTTGTTTAACTAAAAATAAAGAGTATCTGTTCCATAATATGCAGTCTAAATAATATGGAACTGTAGAATTCCATTAAAAACACACAATCTAATCAAAATCAAAAGGTGGAAAAAGAAGTAAGGGAGAGCAGTGGGCAGGAGCTGAGACAGACGTGTAACCTAATGCCACCAATGCACTCCTTCCTGTTTCACAACCTAAGTAACTCTCATTGTGTGACCATCTCACTGCTCTGAAAGCAGTTCTAGTGCTGACAAGTACACATTTTCCACGCACATTAACCCATAAAATACAAACTAACTACTTCATTTGGAACTTGGCTGAATATAAAATAGTCTTTTTTACCTTTTCCACTACAGATAAAACTGCATATTTGGTCTTGTTGAGAATCTCTAAGGAAATGCACATATACTTCGGTTTATATTGTGATTTACAGACAACTTAATGAATCTTTTACAATAAATATTTAGAATCTGTAGGATTTTTCTTTTATGGCTAGCTACAATTATTAGTCCTTAGATAAGCAGTTGGTATACCTACTAAACAACATTCACTAGAGCGAAAAATACCCCCACGTCCAAAAATTTTAAATTAGACCCAGAATTCAACAATGATTCTGTAACAGGCTAACCAAAAACAATGATATTTTCAAAGTTATGGCTGCCTGTGATCCACATTTGGGAGAAACAGGCAGAGGGAAAAGAAACAACCAGCAGTTGTGGGTCTTCTACCAACATGATCAAATATCATAATGCTGGCTAAAACATTTAATTATGTAATATTCAAGTGTCTCATAGAAGCCACAATTTTTTCACTCACACAATTCTAAGAACAAAGCACAGAAACTATCAAAAATGAAGCAGAGAAGGAATGAAGACTTAAAGGGAATCTGGGGGTGGAGGGAATCCGTGAGCTCTGGGACAATGTTGAGCAGCCTGTGTTATTGGAGTACCCAAAGGAAAGTGGGAGGGGAAAAAATATAAGAAAGAAGCAGGAAAAAAAAAAGGCAAAATCTGATGAAAACTACAAAATCTACTACTGATCAACTAACTCTCAAGAAATATGAAGAAAAATCCACAAATACACATCACAATCAAACTGCTTATCATTAAAACCAACAAGACAATGATAAGAGCAGCCAGGGAGTTTAAAAAAAGAAAAAAGAGATGCTTTATGTGCTAAGACACAAAGATAAGAATGAAAACAGATTTCTCATGGAAATAATCCAAGTTAGAAAACAAGAGTAAATAAAACCTTTAAAGACAAAAGAAAACTGGGGCATCTGAGTGGCTCAGTTGGTTAAGCATCTACCTCTTGATTTTCAGCTCAGGTCATCATCTCAGGGTTTGTGAGTTGGAGCCTAGCATCGGGCTCTGCACTGACAGCAGGGAGCCTACTTGGGATTCTCTCTCTCCCTGGCTCTCTACTCCTACCCTGCGTGTGCACACTT